TGAGCTGCCATTGCTGAGCTCTGGTTCCCAGGGCAGAGCAGGAGCTCAGGGATGGTTCAGCAGACTCACAGACAAATGGGGCACCCCAAAGCCTTCAAAGCAGGAGGTGACCTTGCCATGGAGCAGCTGAAACCTGAGCAGCAGCTGGAGGCTGGGAGCAGAGCCCTGAGCTCAGGGTGAGCTTGGGCTTGTGCCACTCCTGAAGGAATTTGGGATTTCGGGGCAGTTGTGCTTGGAAGCAGTCCAGGGCATTACCTGGCGTGGGTCTGAGACTTGAAAAACAGATTAACAAAGAAGCAAATGGAAGGGTAACAATAATAGATTACAGAAACACTTCTCTCGCTTGCCTGCCCTCAGCCAGGCTGCACATGGGGTTTGGGACCCAAAGTTTGGGGTTATTTGATGGCTGAAGTCAGAAAGTTTTGGATAGAAACTCACTCCACGCTGCTTCTGTGCTGGTGTGATGTTTGATTTCTGGTGGTAGGGATGCTTCTCACCCTGCTGGATTTTAGCCCCACTTTGTTTGCCCACAGACCCTTCTGTCAGTGACCTGAGGGATCTCCAGGCACTGACCAGAGCTGGTGTTAGCCCCAAACTCATCTGTGCACCCAGAGGGAATCCCAGCTCCAACCTGAGATGACCAAAGCCCACAAAAATGCAATTTCTGGCGTGTGAAATAATGTTGATGGAGGAGTTAAAGTGCGCAAACAAAGTCTGCACCTTCCCCTCAGATAAATTGTTTTTTCGGGTTAATCTGGCATAGCATGAACAGCTCCAAATGTGCAATAACTCACGGACCCAGAGCCTTTTCATTTCACACAGAAACGACCTAGGCTGTTCTTTCTCCCAAATAAGGAATTCATAATGCAATATTGTTGTTTCCAAGGAGCTCAGCTTTTCTGAGGAGTGCCTTCTCCCCCTCCTCTAGAGCCAATGAAACACATGAACATTTGGAGCCTTTAATAACCTGGCGCAGCCTGCTCTTGATTTCTCTGAGAGCTGCCAATGATTTTGGTGTCAGGGCCGCGAGGTACAACGGCAGTGTTGGATTTCTGCAGGCAGAGCAGTTGAAAGGGAAGGTCAAAAGCAATAAGGGCCGGGTTCCTGGGGCGGGAGGGTGAGCAGCATTTCCCCGGCCCTCTCGCCCAAGAAAACGTTTGGCTGTCACAAAACTAATAAAGGAAAACCTCCAGAGAGGTGGGCTTGAAGCTGCAGGTGTAGGAACGGGGCTGTAGTCACACACAAGGCAGCTTAATAGCGTGGGATTTCTGCTCAAGTGCTTCTTAATGCAGCACAAATGGAATCCCCAGCATGGGGAAAGTGTTGGAGGGAAAGGATTTTATGGCTTTTGGGGGAGAAAGGGCTTGGCTCTCCTGTAGGGGACATAAAGGGCAGCAAGATGGATTTCTTGGGGTGCTTGCCATGTGAAAGCAGTGCATTAGGTATGTGCAGAGGGTTCAGGGCCAGCCTCCAGGCTGGTTCTCTCTGCCTCCCAAAGCAGGGTTTGAGGGGATTTGGGCAGGGTTTCTGCCATATATCTGGCAACACGGGCTTAAAATTAACTCACTGAAACAGCAGATAAAGTTTGGATTCTTTAAAGCTGTGATATTAAATAGAAGTCCCGGAGGAAAGCAGCCAGGCCTCGTGCTGAAGGTCCCATCCTTGCCCTGCCTCTCTGCTGCCCTATAAAACAACAATTATGTGTTTAAAGTTACTGCTCATGTCCCTTATAAAAGAAGACTTACTCATAAACTTCTGGATAGACAGTTCTGTGGGAATATAACTTCCTTGGCCTGAACCAAGCTGCCTTTTCCAGATGATGGAATGCTATACAGGCTCTTTAAAGTCTGACCATGCTATTTATTATTATTATTATTTTATCATCTATAAAAGACACCAGTGTTGAACCTGGGAGTGACACTACACTCAAATCATCAGGAAAGACAGGGAATACCCCAAGGAGAGCTGCTGTTCCTGGAAATATTCACTGACAGGTGCTGGGGATGCTCAGGGCTTGGTGCAGGGCTGCAACTCCTCTCTGCAGGCTCAGGACCAGGGCATTGTCAGTTTTGGGGTGGGATTTGCCAGATGCAAGTTGGGCATTGCTGAAATGGGCTTGGATGCAGCCCTGCAGCTGCTGAAGTCAGGGCACAGGAGCTGGCCCCACACACATGCACATGCCTTAGAATTCTTTTAATGGGCTGAAATCAGCATTTACTTCAGGACCCAACATTCACATGGTTGTGTTTGCTGTCTGAATATCTCCCGTGAGGGAATATCAGCAGTGAGGGATCAGCAATGGGATCAGCTGTGGGATCAGCACTGGGATCAGCAGTGAGGGATCAGCACTGGGATCAGCAATGGGCTCAGCAGTGGGGTCAGCAATGGATCAGCAATGGATCAGCACTGGGATCAGCAGTGGGGTCAGCACTGGGATCAGCAGTGAGGGATCAGCAGTGGAATCAGAACTGGGATCAGCAATGGATCAGCAGTGGGATCAGCAGTGGGATCAGCACTGGGATCAGCAGTGGATCAGCACTGGGATCAGCACTGGGGTCAGCAGTGGGATCAGCACTGGGATCAGCAGTGGATCAGCAGTGGGGTCAGCACTGGGATCAGCAATGGATCAGCAGCTGGAGCACTGCCCCAGAGCCTCTAACACAGGGATTTTCAGGAGCATGGCATTTACTGCAGCCTGCCTTGATTACTTGCTCAGTAATTGCACAGGGACTTCTGCTTCCCACCTTTCCCTGGGATGCAGTTGGGATTTGTATTTCTGGAATGTTTCCTGTTGCATGAGAGCCTTTCCTTTGTTCTCTTCTGACTCCTGTTGACTTTAAGAATGGTTTTGATTCCTGAGCCTCTCTTTGAGGGTTTCTTGTCAGGAGGAATATTTATATTTCATAGCATTTCAGCAAAAAAAAGGCAAAGCAGGCAGGAACCTCAGAATGCAGAATTCCTGTCAGATCCCATCCACAACTTCAGTGGGGAAAGCATGTGAAACACTCAGGTTTAAAACCTTCAGATCCTTCTAATCTGCTGCTCTGTAGTTCAGGGGGGAAATGTGTGCAGCAGCTGCTCTGTGTGGTGTGAGGGGAGCTTGGGGATGTGTGTGTGCTGGGACAGCCCTGTGTCCCTGGAGCTGTGTGCTGGGGACAGCCCTGTGCTCCTGTCCTGGTGTCCCTGTGTCCCTCAGCTGGGACAAGGACAGCACTTTACCTTTTTGGCTTCAGATTTTTGAATTCCAGTCTTTTCCCAGGGGTTGAACAAGGTTTGTTTCACTTTGCTGTCCCCTCTCTCAGTGTGTGCCTTGCAGTTCCCTCCCTCTGCACTGCCCATCAGCAATCCTTTATCAGCCTTCCTGCTGCGGATAATTTGGGGTTTATGTGCAGTTTTTCTTGGGACTTGTCAAAGAATAATTACACCCCATTAACTCCCCTCTGTATCATTAGTAATTCACACCTAGGGAATATTTTCCAAGCAGCTGATCTCGGTTGTCTCTTAATTGCTGCAGTCCATAAACTCTGTTACACTGAAACTGTGTGAAGGATTTGCACCCTCTAAAACTTCTCCCTCCAGTGCAAAACATAACAGAGAATGGGAATGTGGCAGCTTTATCAGATCTTACTTCTTCCCTATTTAGGCAACTTATTTGCTTCTGGCTCTGTGGAAAACTCTAAAATGTATGTTAAGGTGTAAAAAAATTGAGACTGAAAGGGTGAGGAAGTTGTGGCTGCTCAGCCTGGAGAGGAGAAGGCCCCAGGGAGAGCTCAGAGCCCTTTGCAGGGCCTGAAGGGGCTCCAGGAGAGTTGGAGAGAGACTGGGGACAAGGGATGGAGGGACAGGACACGGGGAATGGCTCCCACTGCCAGAGGGCAGGGATGGATGGGATCACAAATGGTTTCAGCTGAGCATAAGAGAAAAAAATCCTGCTGGTGGCAACTCTTATTTCCCTGGAAAAAAAAAATCCTGGCCCCCTGGCAGAGGAATAGTTTCGGCATAGAAAACATGACACTATTTACAAAAAGCAGTGTCTAATATCCTTTTCCAGTGTGGAAGGAGGAGTTTATTTCAATACATCCTTTTTTAATTGCCATGAGCTGGACTTGTAAATACTGTGAGTGGTTGAGTAATAGTCCTCAGTGAGCAGAGAGAGGAAGGGACAGGTTTTCCACTCTTGGAAGCCTCTGCATTCCCTCAGCTCGGGCAGGGAGACTGCACACAGCAGATACTGAACACCAATGAAAGCCTCCTAATTAAAAGATCATTGAAGCCCAGGGGATGCCCATGGGGGTGATGGCAGTGCCCAGCACAGGGATCCAGCTGGGTGAGGGGTTTGTTTATTGGGGGTGGTTTGGGAGGTGGATCCAGGGTGTTCTCACTCAAACATTTCTTCCTTTCCTCTAAAAATGGGAGAGAAAGAGGAGAGTTAAGGGGAGAAATGGGGAATTAAGGAGAGGGGAGGGATCCCATTTTGTACAATCTCATTTGTCATTGACCTCAGCTAGGTTCAGTGGGTTTGGGGCAGGATAGGGCATACAGAGGTGGGGCAGGGCACTGTGGGGTTCTCTCAGGGCTGGGTGATCCCTGTTCCCCAGGTCAGGTCCATGCCTGACAGCCCAGCCCTGAACAGAGTTCTGTCTGAAAGCGGGAGTACTTTGCGTTGGAAACAATTTCCTGCTGCAGTGTGGATTTCCTCCTGGATAATCCTTTGCCCCAGTGGGATGGTACAGAGGGATTCCAGCAAAGCTCAGCTGGCCTGGCTGTGAGTTAAACACATCCCTTGGTGTTTCTGTGGCAGATGTGCAGGGAGGAAGGTACCCCACAGCCCTGCTGGGAAATTCTGATTTGTGGGGTCAGGAAGGGAAGGAACCCCTCTGCCAATGTGGGATTTGGGTCTAGGTCTGTGCTCAGGTCACCAGTGCAGGCCTGTGGGGGTGAGCAGGGGGAGGAGGAGGAATTGAATCACAGAAATGCTGAGCCTTGCTGTGTCCCTGCAGGGATGCTGGTGGTGATCGTGCTGCTGCTCATCGCCATCGCCGTGGTCGCGCTCTGGCCCACGGGGTAACCCCGACCCTGCTGGGGCAGCTGCTCCAGGGGAGCCCCAGGGCTCGGGCAGGGACCTGCTGAGGGCAGGGATGAGCTCCATCCATCGCTGGGAACAAACTCCACAGCTGGGAATGACCCCACTGAGCAAACTGAACCATCTCCACAGCTGGGACTGACCCCACTGCAGGAGCCTGGACAAACCCACAGCTGGGAATGACCCCACTACAGCAGCCTGGACAAACCCACAGCTGGGAATGACCCCACTGCAGCAGCCTGAGGCAGCCCCGCTCTCCTTGGCCAAGGAGCTCAGTGAGATCTGCAAGATTTCAGTGGGAAAGGATTTCATCCCATCAGGATTTCAATCCAACAGGATTTCATCGCACTAACAGGATTTCATCCCACTCTTCCCACCTTCCCCTGGCTCTCAGGCAGCTGCAGCTGTGGGATGGACCCACCTCTCCTGCACCTGGGCCCAGCTGGTGCTGCTGCCCTGCCCATCTCCTGAGCTCAGACATGCCAGAGGCTCCAAACACTGAAATGCAGGAGTGCTGTGGAGAACAGCCACATTCCCTGCTCTGGGATCCCTCCTGCAGAGGGAAATGCTCCATTCAGGGAATGTCCTGGGGAGTGGCTGCCTCTGGATTCCCCCAGGATGGGAAGGGACAGCCCTGCAGGAGCCCCTGGGCTGCACAGAACCATGGGGACTGGGTCAGTGCTCAGCCTGGGGGAGGCTTGCTGGGGTATTGATCCCCAGGGATGGTCATTGGTGGGGTATTGATCCCCAGGGATGGTCATTGGTGGGTTATTGATCCCCAGGGATGGTCATTGGTGGGTTATTGGTCTCCAGGGATGGTTACTGGTGGGTTATTGATCCCCAGGGACGGTCATTGGTGGGTTATTGATCTCCAGGGATGGTTATGGGTGCGTTATTGATCTCCAGGGATGGAGTTACTGATCTCAGATGGGAACTGAACAGCAGCAGGACTCAGCCCAGCCTGTGAGAGTGAGAGCTCTGCCCGTGTGTGCTCCCCAGGGGCTCTGCCAGCCTGGCCCTGGGAGATGCACCACAATTAACGTCCTCACTGAGCTCTGGCTCTTCCTTTGACAGCTTCTCACACCCTTCTACAGCTGAGAGGAAGGATTACCTGTTTCAAAACTAATGAAAAAGAAGTATTAAATGTTTGCTTCTGGCCAAGAGAATAATTATTTTGTTACAAATGTCAGTTTGATTTCAGGATTAATAGAGCAAGCAATAAATACTGATTAAAGCTGATCCATTTCTATACAGTTTCTCTGCCTGGGGTTTTATTGTTTCCTCCTATCTTGTGTTGTCTGTGAATGATTTATCCAACGCTGCCATGTCCTAAGAGCTGGTCTGGAGAAGGAAATAAGCAATTTCTGTCAGACTTTGTGTGTATTATGGCAGATCTGCCACTCTTGCAAGAGCTGGCCCTCATCTGGGATCCCAGGGATCCAGAGCTTCTCTTCTTCATCTGTCACAGGTGGTGCCATGTCCTGCAGCTGTGGGAGCTGTCTGCTGGATCCAGAGAGGTTTCCCTGTCTTTGTGCTCCCAGGGAGGGACAGGAGAGAGGAGCCTGGGGGAGAGAAAGGCCCATAGGTGCAGCTTCAGCCAGGGCTCTGTGCCCATCCTCAACCCTCAGAGCTGGAGGCTGGAGCTCCTCTGGGGCTGTCTGTGTGCTCTGCTGGAGAAACCCTTGGAGCCTTCCCAAGTGCAGCCCAGGCTGTGGCTGCTCAGCTTTCTTGGAGGGATGTTTCACCTCGGGGCTGTCAGTGGCGGCAGGGGCAGGCAGGGCTGGTTTGATGTGCTCTGGTTTTCCAGAGGACAGGCAGGGGTTTCATGAGTTATTGCTGAGGTCAGATTAGCAATGGAGCTTTGGGCAGGGCTGCTCCAGCTGGAAGCAAGGAAAGGTTTTGGAGAGGAGTTCCAAATCCCTGCATTCCTACAGCTCTGTGGACACTGGGAATGCTCCTGGAGCTGTTCCTCAGCAGCAGCCTCCAGACCTGGAGCAGGATTTCAGTGCCAGCTCTGGAGCAGCCCCATGGACCTTCAGTGACAGCCAGAGAGCAACGTGGGCTTTGTTCAGAGGAGACCATGGGCCTGGGATGCTAATTAAAGCTGCCACTTCTGGGCTGCTAATTAAAACTGTCACTTCTGGGCTGCTAATTAAAACTGCCTCTTCTGGAGGGAATTAGGGCTTTGTTTGAGTTCCCAGGACGCACAGGATGGATGTGGAACTCACCCTGGTCAGTGTTCCACAGCACTTTGTTCTGACCCAGGCTTTCAAAGCTTTTCTGACCCACTGGGTCCTCCAGCACATTTTTCTGTGAGATCCAGGGAAGTGTGGAAACAGCAGGAGCTGCTCACTGTGCTGGCCACAAAAGGGTTCTCAGCCTTGCCCTTTAGGTAGCATTTAACGTGTCATGTGGGTGAGGAATTTGATTAAAAAGCAGTGGGTTTGGCAGCACTCTGCTGTGTGCAGGGAAGCTTTTCTGTCTCCCTGCCCCACTAAAGAAAAAGCAAAGTTAAAATACGACAGACACCAGGGTTTGGCTCCCAGCAGCAGTGGAGGAGCCAACCTGGAGTGGCTTCCCAGGCAAAGATCTTCCTGGAATGTGCCCAGAGACATCCCAGCCTTGGCCTTCCCTGCCACCTCCTCATCTCTCTCCTGGAGTGCTCAGGGGTTCAGCAGCTTCCAGACCAACAATCCCAGTGCTGGGAGCAGCTCTGGTGTGTGCCCCAGGCACCTGGATGTTCCAATGCCCTGGGAGAGATCCCCACCTCCTGCAGGGATCATCCTGGAATGCTGCTGGGCATTTTCCTCTTCCCTGGATCCTGGGCTGAGCTGGGTGTGTGGATGGCTCCTGTCCCACTCTGCCTGCTGGGACCAGGCTGGGAAAACCACTCCAGGTCCAGCCCTCCGTGGGAAAGGCCTCATCCCCCCCTTTCCAGAGGCACCGTGTCACCTCTGCACAAGTGGCCACCTGCAGTCTGGGAGCCCATTTGCCCCTGGGAGCAGAGGGCTGGCACTTGTGACCCGTTTGTCTCTGCAATAGAGATCTGACATTTCCACCTCTGTCGCGGTTTTGGGTTCATAAATTCCCGGCCCTGATGAAGGCTCAGGTCAGCTGGGCTGACCCCAGCACTTGGCAGCACCTTTTGCCTGGAGTTTTGTCCCTGGAAGGGTTTTGGCCTCAGTTCCCCCCACCTCCAGCTCTCTGTGCTGTCAGTGCCACCAGCCCTTGCCTTGCACCAGTGCTGGCCCCGCTGATCCTGGATGGGGCTGGGGGAGCTGAGGGAGCCCTGAGCCCTGCAGGGTGGGCAGGAGGGGCCAGCACTGCTCTGCAGCCCCTGGATGGGGCTGGGGGAGCTGAGGGAGCCCTGCAGGGTGGGCAGGAAGGGCCAGCACTGCTCTACAGCCCCTGGATGGGACAGAAATGGGGCCAGAGCGGGGCTGGCAGCTGTCCTGACTGCAGACTTTGGCTGTCCTGACTCCAGGCTTTGGCTGTCCTGACTCCAGGCTTTGGCTGTTCTGACTGCAGACTTTGGCTGTCCCCACCTGTCCCCAGCTCCAGGCAGGGTCCCAGAGGTTTTGGCTCTGTCCCTCTGCAGGGCACAGCTGAGCCCACAGGGGCTGCTGGGGACCCCCTGCCATGCACCCACGGTGACCCCGCTGTCCCCAAGGGCAGTGGCCCCAGCCTGGGGGTGCTGGGCAGGGACAGGGCAGGGACTGCCAGTCCAAAACAGCTGTGCCACCTCAGGCCTGCCTGGGGACACTGACATAGCCAGGGATGGAGGGGACACCGTCATTTCCCTGCCTGCGTCCTTGTTCCACAGACTCACTGAACCATAGGGTGGGAAAAAACAGAAATTCCTGAAGATTTTTACAGTTTACAAGAGTTTATTCAACTGGTTTCTGACTTTAGTTCTACGGAGGGGGTGCTGAACAGTTACAAGCTCCTTCAGGTCAATTACAGCCAATCTAACGAACAAACAAACAAAAGGGAAAAAAAAAAAGGAAAAAAAAAGAAACAACTTGGAAAACAATAAGAAAATCCACAACTTCTTCACGTGTCATTAAATATATTCATATATAATAACCATAATATATTAGTATGCATTGTAAAGAAACATTGCCCAAAGCAGTCTGCCATGGTCATAACTAAACAACATTTACAGTTCAAGATATTAACAGAAATAATAAAAAAAAAAACACAAACAAAAACAAAACCAAAATAAAACAACCCCAAAAGGAACACAGGTTTGTGAGGGGGTGAGGCGGGGCGGGAGGGGCACGGACACACAGACAAACAGAAACGAGACCAAGCCACATCTGTGGGGTGCTACGGTCGGTGATGATTGTTTTGGCATTTCAGCTGCTCTCCAAAGCCTCCCTCAAGGCACCACAGCCCCTTCCCCACTGCCCCGGGGGTGCCACTCCTGTCCCCAGGGCGCTGGGTGGCCCTGGCTGGGTCCGGGCTGGTCAGAAGGGGATTGGTGCCCCAGAGCTGCCCCTGGCCAGGCAGGTGCTGAGGGGGCATCCTGTCCCTCTGGGGGAGCAGCAGAGGGGTCCCCCTGGAGGTGTCCTCATGGGGGTGTCCTCATGGGGGTGTCCTCCTGGAGATGTCCTCCTGGAGATGTCCCACTGAGGGTATCCTCATGGAGATGTCCTCCTGGGGGTGTCATCCTGGGGGTATCCTCCTGGGGGTGTGCTCATGGAGGTGTCCTCCTGGAGATGTCCTCATGGAGATGTCCTGAAGCAGGGGTGCTGCAGGAGGAGCTGCTCCTCTGGACCCCAAAATGGGGCTGCTGTGCCCTCCCAGCTGAGGCTTCTCCAGCTGCACCAGTTCCAGCAGGTCAGGATTACTGGAAGCACATGAAGGGCACTGGGACCGTGGATGGAGTGAGGTGTTGGTTTGCCTGGGCTGATGGAAAGCACAAAACTCCAGCAGGGATGGAGAGACAGGCCTGGAGGACAAGCCTGGGGGCTTCCCTCCTGTGCCAGCCTCCAGGCTGCTGTGCCAGCTCATTTCCCTCTGAGCCCCCAGGCTGTGACAGGGCTGTGGGGTCAGGTGCTGGGGGCCTTCCAGGAGCAGTGGGAGCAGGGAAGGGGCTGGAGGGTGTCCCTGGGGGTTTGGGGTGTCCAGGCTGTGCTGGGAGGGTGCTGTGCTTGACAAGGGTGGAAACTGGGAGTGAGCCCTCGGTGTCCAGGTGTGCTATGGGCACTTCCTGAGTCCCCAGGTCCCCTGGCCTTTCCTTCCTGCTCTCCACATGGAGAACTGGCTTTGGGTTGGATTCTGTTACCTTTAGGCACCGTTTGAGGTTTGGGGACATCCCGGCTGCCTGAGGATGTGCTGTCCCACCCTGGCAGCAGCTGATGGTGACTGCAGGAGAGCATCCAAGCCCTGTTTTGGGGCTTTAAGCCTCCATTTGGACACTTGAGGTCAGATTTTATCCCTCAGAACCTGGTGGCTTCACTTCCCTTGGCTGCAAAACCCTCAGCTCTCCTTGAGGTCTGAGATAAGGAAAACCAGGTCCAGTGTGGGAAAGGGGAGAAAACACACACTTGGTGGGGGGAGCTGCTTGATGTCCAGGGTGGGATTTTTCTCCCAATACCCAGATTAATTTTGGGGCCTTGTGGTGTCAGGGGAGGCTCAGCAGAGCTGGGTCCCTCTGGGTGGTGTTTCCAGCAGCCCCAGGAGCCTCCTCTTTGCACCTATTTACATGGCTGCCCTGCTTTATGGTGGTTTATGTCATTATATAAATATTGTCAATTGCTATAAAACAAGGCAAAACCACTGGAAAATGTCATAAAAGAGATGTTTCCAAGTTTCCTAAAAGGAAAAATAGCAGGGAGGTTTTGCTTTTCATAGCGACTAATGTTTGCCTCTCCTCCAGGTACGGTCCTGCCCTCCCTGCCTTCCTGCCCATCCATTCCCGCTCTGCCTGGAGGAGGTGGAATTGAAAATCCCCATTGCCCAGGGGCTGCTGTGCCAGGGGAGCAGCCTGGCATGGGGCAGCAGCCTGGCATGGGGATAGCAGCCTCACATGGGGCTCACAGCTCCCAATCCAGTCCTGCCCACAGGGTGCCCCAGGGGAGGATGCTCCAGTCTGAGATGAGGCAGTCTCCACTGGGCTCAGTGCATTAATGACTGGAAATTGGGAATTTTAAATTGGCTGGTTGTCCCCCCAGCAGAGGGAGGAGAGCTCCAGGTGGGTCACACCTGGCTCCTGGCTGAGACCCCTTCCCTGGGTGGGCTCTGCACTGGC